TCTCTCTCTCTCTCCCTCTCTCTCCCTCTCTCTCTCCCTCTCTCTCCCTCTCTCCCCTCAGTACAAAAGACTGGTGACTGGTTTTTCCTTTTTCCAGATTGTTTATTAAGTTTTTAAGAGGGGTGACTGTGTGTGCGCTGGCAAGGGGAAACTGGCATATGAAATACTTTCGTCTGGTTCTTTGCTTTAACTTTTAAAGCTAAAATGTGGGTATTATAATACAGCTTTTGTTTTCCTCTATTAGAAATTGCCAAAAGTTAACAAAGAGCTGGCACTTAAATTAATTGAGGAGGAGGAAGAGAAGCAAAAATCTACATGGAAAAAGAAAGTTAAGGTAAGACTTTATAATGCAGAGAAAATATTGATAAATTGTTTCTACACTTCTTTGATGGTAACTTAAAACTTTTTTATTTTTTGTTTTTACTTTAAAAATACATTTACTTTTTTCCTGCTTATAAGATAGTATATGCTCAATATGGGAAGCTTATAAAACAGAAGAGAATATAAGGGGGTCACCCATATAATTCTACCCAGAGAAAGGCAATGTTAGTATTTTAGTGAATTTCTTTCTTGTCTTATTCCTCTTAAAATTATGAGCCAGAATAGCAAGATACTATTGTGCATACAAAATCTTTATGCTGGTTCTATAAAATAACACAAGTGGCCTCCGTTTTATTAAAAATTTATTGTAAATATTCTTGACAGCTGCATATTCTATCTTCTGGATGTATTATAGTTAATCCATTTACTGTAAATATTTAGGTTGTTGTTTTTCTTTGTACTAACTAGGTTTGTTTATAATTCCAGAGGTGACAGACTTTTATTTAGATGTGGCATTATTGGGCATGTGCACACTTCCATGTAACTGCTACCTACCTTCCTTTACTAATGTGAAAACAGACAAAGATCAGTCATAAAATACATAAAGGTTAAGGCTTCATGTAGCTGATATTGTCAAGTCAGGAGGGGCTTTTCTAATTTTCCCAGCTATGTGAAGACTCCCCTGTGACTGGCTCCCCAGTGCTGTTTCCTTGTCTGCTTAGCTCAGGCAGGCAGGTGCCCAAAGGCTTGGCTGTTTACTAGGAGTCGTGAGGCCCGATCTCTCCTCGGAAGCCTGCAGGACCTGGGTCTCAGTAAATGTCTGACCCTTGTAACCTTGGCCAGCTGTGCTGAGCTCTCAGGAGGTTTTTGTTTGCTTTATTCTTTCTCTGCTCTCTCTAGTTTGTAACCAGCTCAGTGTGAAAGTGAGATAAGTATTTGTGTTCCATTCTGATGCCAAGAAACTGTCACTGAAGGGTCTTGTTTCAGGTCCTCTTGCTCACTAGTGTCATTGTGGGTGACCCTCAGCAAGGATAGGAGAGGGGCATTCTTGGTGCTGTGATTTCTAAATGGATTGGTATTCTCTGCTCCTTTTCTTATCCTCTGTTTCCTCATCCTTCCTGCACCCTCTCTGCCAGGCCTATTACGTGCTTTTATACATTATTTAAATCTTAATTTTTAGGAGCCTTCCTGAAGTAAATAAGTATGTGGCTTTTATGGTTCCATTTTCATTACATGAAATGTATATCTTCAGGTGCATCCTACAGTGTTGATTTTTTCCTCAGATACTCACATTGACTTTCTTGTTAGCCCAGCCTGAGGATGACTCGGCAGGTAACTTCATCTTCATAATGTCATTGTACAAGCCAAATGGCACCTTTTTAAAAGGCCCTTATGTTTATGAAGATGTGGGGAAGTCCCCTTTCCTCGCCCCCCCACCTTTCTGTCATAGCCTTTCCTTGGTGTTGGGGCAGCCAGAGGATTTGTAGCACAGCTGGTCGTCACTGTGCATGGTGGTGCAGGACAGGAGCTGGAAACATGCAGAGTGATCTTATTAGTCGATGGGAAAACCTGTGCCTTTTGAACTTTTTGTCGAAACATTAATAGGATCATCCTGTAAAGAATCATCAGACTGTGGACTGTTTCTACTGCAAGTGCCGGGAGGAAGAACTGTAGAAATTCTTACCTTCCTTCATCAGACAGCTGCTTCTCTCCAGCTGCTGGAGGCTAGAAGTGCTATCGTAGTAGCTATGTCACCTAAACAAATTCTGCTAGAAAGTGGAACTTGTAAAATACACCCTTAGTTTGCTTTTTGGTGGCTTGCTGACCCAAATCATGCCCTACTGTCAGAGCTCTGTTTATTTTCAGAAATACTTAAATATTTAAATATAGTCTTCTAAAAATCTGAGGCTGTTATTAGACAAAGCTTATATGATTTGTTGTATAACAGTGTTATCTAATTAAAAATGAAGACCTTAAAAACCATTCATAAATTAAGGAAAGAATCCTTCATTAGAATTGTAAAAAATACTTGAAAGAATTGTTAAATCTATCAGCAGTTCATTAGTCTTGCCTTTGAACTCAGCTCTTCAAACCCTCAAGAGCTTTAATAGCTCTGATCACTCCTGATTTGAAAGTCAGTGTGGTGCAGTTAAGTTCTGCTTTGGCTCTAACTGAAATTTCATGGAGGCAGACAGTGAAATCTGTTCCCAAATATTGCTACTACTGCTAACATAATTAAGGTCTAATAAGATGTTTACCTTTCAGTTGTTGTTGGATCTACAGTGAAAAGTGACCCACCGCATAATGTCAAGAAGCATTATCTGGACCTTATCCAAACTTAGCAATTTATATTAATTCTAGTTAAGAATTAATTCATTTATTCTTTCAACAAATATGTATTGAGCTCCCACTGTGCACAGGCAGCTTGGAGAGGCGTGGCACTCATGGTCCATTTGATTTGTAAGGCTTTGAGTAACACTTAGGACCATTTTTCTTACAAGTGTCATTTCCTGCCTGTTGGCTGTTTCTGCCAATTTTTCACTATTGCCTTAAAGTCTTGTGTGAATTTATTTCTCTTGGATTCTGCAGCAGCTCAGTCAGGTATTGTCATGCATGACATCCCCAGGCCAAGAGTAGTCTGTGGCCTGAAAACCATGGGAGAGGTGTCTCAACAGCTTTGGGGATTAGTGGCTACCGTTAAGAGTTCAGATTAAAGCAACAATTCATCTCTCCGGGAAAAAGATACAACCATGCATAGACACTGGGTTGCATCAGATCGATTCTAACATCCGAAATACTTTGAAGAGCTTTTTTTTATTGCCAATTAAAAATTATGCTTTTGTTTTTTTATTACAGTTGTACCCACACAGTTTTTAAAACTATGTATTTCTCCAGGGTTTGTTAGGAACCTTGGCTGTCCCTTTGTCCTCTTCTTCCTCCCACTTCCTCTCCCTCCCCCATTTTCAGCTCTCCTGAGACAAACACTTCTGTCTCTTTAGCTGATGCTTTTGGAGTAAAACTCCATGTCTCTTAATATTGCTCAGAGTGCTACTTCTTGACTGTTACATGCCAGGCACCGTCTTTGATAACCTTCCCTCCCAGCACCGTTCTGCTGTGCCTCTCGATAGGTCGGTAGTCAGCGTTTACGCTGTTACGAGTGTGCACATGCTCTTTTACATCCAGTCAGAGCTGTGTAATATCTGTGATGACACTTCCTGAACAACCCTTGTCTTCACTGGACTTAATTGACTTTTTATTTATTTCCTCTGTAGTTATCAACTACTTAGCCCTCAATTCTTTGCCCATTGTCTAAATCTCATTTCAAGATATTTATATGAAGACCAATTACATAAATTTTATTTTCTGAAAAAGCCTCTCCTACGCCTTTCTGCTCATCCTGGACTGTTGACGTGGACACCCTGGTCCCCTGCCGTCATCCCAGGTGGCCTCACTCCACCTCACCCCAGTGTTAGATACAGAATTATCAGCACCTTCAGTTTACTGAAGGGATGCCGTTTCCAACGCAGACACGTGTAAGGTTATAGGGAAGAGATTTTCAAACATACACGTTCTCAGCAACAGCAAATCACCCTCACGTGCCTGTTTCCCTCAGGAAGGGCCTTAGGATTTTCTCCTCCAAAATGAGAGACTCAGGCAAGAGAGAGGACGAGCCCGAGGACGCTCCCCACGGATGGCTCTGCACCATGCCCGGGCGCCATCTTCCACCCAGAAGTCCAGCTCATAGCACTGGCCGCTTGGCGGGCCCTTCCAATCCAGAAACTGACATTTTTCAGCTGGGAACTTTTCTTGGGGGGAAAAAACAACAACATTAAGTAGTCTTTCCCTGCTGTGATCCGTGGCCATTTGTTCATATTTAAGAGTGAAGGATTTTAAAAGCTGAGTGGGAACTTTTGGGTGGTGACAAGGCTTATCAGTGATTGTGGTGACCTGGCCAAACTGTTTATTTGGGAATGTTCCAAATAGCATCTTTTGGGCCTTTGTCTTGGCTGCTCAGATTCTCCTGCTTGGAGAATGACACCCGACTGCCAGCATTCTGAGAACTCGAGTTTAGAGGGCTTGGGAGTGCGAGGGCAGAGGCCATCCTCTCAGGGTCAGGTGCGTCCCTTGCCCTCAGGGTGCTGCTGCCCCTGCCGGACACCCCCTGTCCCTTCCCCCAAAGAAAAAGCCCCAGTTGGAGAGGCCCGGTACTGGGCCTTCCTTTCTCTCTGCCAAGCTGCATTGCTTCTGTTTCCTTTCCTACCCTCCACATCCTTACGGGTCTGTGTCTTTTTAAAGCTCCTTTTCTATTGTTTTAGCGGCGTTTTAGCAGAGCCTAGGATGAGATGCTTGTGTTCAAACCACCACCTTTGCTCGGAAGTCTGATCAGCTTAATTTCATAGCTATCATAGCATTAGAAGAATTCATTTGTTTTATATGGCAAGCACTCCTCATACATGTTACTGTGTTGGGACAAAATATTAATGAGCATCCTACTCAGATCTACAGATAAACTTCTTTGAGTTAGGGCTGTGGTATAAACAATACTTTAGGATGTTTTCCAAATTTGCATGGCAAGTGTTTGGCGTATGTACATGAGTATTTACAGGGCAGATCACTAGCCAGACACTTGTAAACTACTGTAGAACATCACTAACTACACCTTATTTTACTTTTTTTTAAAGACAGCTGTGAAAGCAATTAGACTGGAAAAAATCTCTAGGGAAAATATTTTTTACAGCTGGGTCAGAAGAGTTTTTATTTTATAATTGTTCATCCAACGCATACTTGTCTTTAGGCAAAGCAATTTATTTGTTTTAAAATAAGAAAAAAAACTTAAGAGTACTAGCAGCGTATTCTTTTAAACATGTTTCTCTGTTATTTATTAAATATGGCTGTTTAATAAATATAGTAAGATGAAAGGAAAAAATTTCCCTTTGGGCTCTCTTTATTTTTTACCTGAAAATATGTAATAGGTTAATAGCTATTCATTTGAAAACATTTGGATCTTTGGCAATATCACCTGTCCTGTATTTACACATAACTCCAAAATGTATCTAATTTAGCCCTCTCCCCTCACCTGAGACCTCGCCTTGTTCCCAGGCACCTCGTGGTGTCCATCAGGATCCAGGTGACATTCAGACCACAGGTGACATTCAGTCTTGTACCACAGACTTGGCCAGTCTTAAGTGGAACGTAATTTCTTTTTTCTAAAGACTTAATTTTTTTTAGAGGAGTTTTAGGTTCATAGCAAAATTGAGGGCAAGGTTCAGAGATTTCCCATACACCCCTGCCCCCCACATGCACAGCCTCCCCACTATCCACGTCCCCCACCAGAGGGTGCATCTGTTACAGTTGGTGAATCTACACTGACATATGGTTGTCACCCAAAGCCTGTACTTTACATTAGGCTTCACTGTTGCTGTACCTTCTACAGGTTTGGACAAATGTATAATGACAGGTGTCCACCATTCCGGTATCATACAGAGCATTTTCACTGCTGTAAACATGCTCTGTGCCCCACTCACCCCTCCCCCCAACCCCGGGCAACCACTGGTCTTTTTATGCCTCCAGTGGCTTACTTTTTCCTTCGTGTCATACAGTTGGAATCATACAGTATGTAGCTTTTCCCGATTGGCTTCTTTTACATAGTAATGTGCATTTAAGCTTCTTCCATGCCTTTTCATGGCTGATAGCTTATTTCTTTCTAGCACTGAATAATATTCCATTGTCTCTACGCACTACAGTTTATCTACTCTCCTACCGGAGGACATCGTGGTTTTTTTGGAACATAATTTCTTGCCTTTTACTTCACCCTATGCCTCTTTTTCTGATGATCTCCAATGATGGACCCTAATTCATGGCATCACCAGCTTTCTAGTCGCTGAAGCTAGACGCTTGAGAGAAATTTTTAACCCTGTGTTCACTCTTCTTACCAGCTTCTCCATAGCTGTACCCATTAATTCTGACTTAGAAACGTATCTCGCAGTAATCCTTTCCTAAAGCAGTGTTTGTTCCCACCCGTGTATTCCCACTGCCCTGATTCAGGCCCTGTCTCTTCCCCTGGTTTCCTACAGTGGCCTCCGAGCTCCCTCATGACCCTGGCTTCTCCCAGCAGCCCACCATCTACCATGCTGCTGAGGGCTCTCGAAGCACAGTTCTCTTTGCCGTCTGAGATTCTCGCATCTTTTTCCTCCTCTTCTTCCTTCCTCTTCTTCCCTAGTCCTTCCCCCTTACCTGTAAAATCCCTTACAACCTGGCCTGACCAAAAAATGCATTTTCAAGTTTCATCATCATTCTTGCATCATCAGACTATTCACCACTCCTCAGTGGACTGGAAATGCCCTTCACGTTTCTGTCTGCTGAAACCTACTTCTCAGGCCTTGCCCCAGATGCCACCTCCCCTGTGAGCCCTTCTGAGATGTTTCTTGTTGGAATTACTTTTTACCTCAGCCCATAGAGCATTTCAACTCTGTTTACCATTATTCAAAAGGTGCCTTGTAGCTTGGGGTTTTGTTTTGTTTTCTATCTCATTAGATTGTGAGCAAATGCCTTGGGATCAAGAACTAGATCTTATCTGTCTTTGTTTCTTCGTTGAACCTAAATCTGTCGTGGAAGTGATATTCAGTCATTTTTGATATATTGATATATATGTATTCAATATATCATAGAATATGTAATCAAATATCACAGAATTTTAGCTAAGGTTTTATCAGATTTTAAGTACAACAAGTAGTAAACAGCCCAAGTTCCTTAATCTCTCATGATTTGCCAACTGTTTATGTAGCTCTTGTTATACAATATTAGAACTCAACTACTTACAGCCTTATTTACTTTCAATAATAGAGAAATAGTCAGTAAAATAAGTCCATTCAGTAGAGCCAGAGTCCACCACGAACAGGTTAGCTTTCCAAGCCCCTGTTCAGGCTGTTTACTCTACAAACCACATTAAGTAGGTTGATTTATCTGGTGTCCAAGCCTATAGCAGACAAGAAACAGTAGGAGAACCCTGGTATAAGATTGCCATCTGTTTGCGTGAACATGTAAGTTTACAATACAGTCTAGAAAACTTTCTGTTCAAAAATGATACAAATAAAAAGAATTTAGTGTCAGTCCTGAGCTATCTACATGGGTCTCAATAGCAAAGTTTTATTATATCAAAATGACAAGAGTTTTACACTCTATCTGTTGATAACATTTAAATGGTCTAGGGGGAAAAATTGGTGAGGCTGTCCTATAAGGGATAGAAGTATCCCTTATGTTTCCAAGTAATTCAGTTGGAGTCAGTAAACTTATACTGCCAGCTCTCCACCATGTTATCATAATTCCTGACTTATTATCGACGTGTGCATCCTCCCCTAGTTTTAGAATATGAAGTAAAAAGACTCACTAATTTTAATTCAGTATAGTAGCTGTGCTTTAAAAACCAGGTTTCAAAAACATATATTTCCTTGAAAAAGTGGTTTTGCATTAAAAATGTTAATTGAAGAAAATTCTTTCTAATATATTAAGCACCAAGTTAGCAAAAAAGGCTCGTTCTTAGCTTATTATGTGTAATGGCCAAGTAATACATATAATCTATGAAATAGATTAATAGAATTTGTTTGGGGGTCAGAGGTACAACCCAGGGGCAATTAGAAAGTTCTGGAAACTAATTCTATAGAAATCTCATCATAATTTAATAAGTTATGCCTTATGCAGCTTAGTAATTTATAATTGAGTGAAATATTTGAAAGCCGTCTTTCCTATCAGATTTTATTCATATATTAACTTAAACTTTTTATGTTCTTCTTACAGAATCTTCCTAATATTCTCACTGATGATCGATTTAAAGTTATGTTTGAGAACCCTGACTTCCAAGTGGATGAAGAGAGTGAAGAATTTAGGCTTTTGAATCCACTTGTTTCAAAACTTGGTGAAAAAAGGAAGAAGAAACTAAGACTCTTAGAGCAACAAGAACATCATGAAAAAGTAACGTGTTTTGTGTTGTGTAGAATGTACTACTGTTTCCTTAACGTAAGGTTTTCTGTGTAAGTCAGAAGCGTCTTTGAGTACACTTGAGAAGTTTTTGCTTGACTTTCAGCTTAGGAGCATACCTTACTTAATCGAGGGCGTATTTTTCCTATGCATGCGGTGTCACGTACTCTGAAGGGGCAGTGCTATTTAAAAGAAAATAACGGGTCAGTGTTTGGTTGGGGGAAAGGAGCTGTTTCTGACTATTTTTATTTTCAGGAAGAGGAGGAAGAACCGGAAGGAAAACCAAGTGATGCAGAAAGTTCTGAGAGTTCAGATGATGAAAAAGACTGGGTCGAAGAGGTCAGGAAACAGCGCAGACTTCTCCAGCAGGAGGAAAGAGCGAAGCGGCAGGCACAGCTCAGGGAGGACCGGCAGACGGTCCTCAGGCCCCAGTTTTACGAGATCAAAGCCGGCGAAGAGTTCAGAAGCTTCAAAGATTCTGCCACGAAGCAGAAGCTGATGAAGTGAGTAAGGCAGCTCTTGCATTGTCAGAGCCTGGCTTTCCTTGGTGGCATGTCGCCCCAAGGATGACATTTTGGTCTCTGGCGTTGATGTGACGAAAGCACCACAGGCCTCAGGGGAAACACACTGGGCTTTATTGTGACTTTTTTTTTTTTTTTTAAGATTTTCATTGGGGAATCGGGGAAGGGGAACAGACAAGTTGCCGTCCTTTTGTTCTTCAGTCTAGTTGTGGAGGACGTCACCTCACTGGCCCATGTTGGTATTATCATTGCACTCTTCCCGGGTGAGGCAGTCACTCGCCAGCCATTGGACTGCCGGCCGCTAACGGCAGCTCACGAAAGCGCAAGCCAGCTGCCGGCCAGCCCCACTGCAGCCTACGCCGTTGCTGGCGACTCACGGCAGCCCAGCTCCAGGTCGAGCTGTTGTTCACCATCTTAGCTGTAGAGGGCGCAGCGTCAGGCCCATGTGGGATCCGAACCGGGGTCCTGCTGCTCAGAGCTGGTGTCCCAAGCCAACTCCTAGCCAACGCACCACTCGGCCGGCCCTATTGTGACTATTTTTAACAGCTCGTTGAGGTATAGTTTGCAGGCAGTAAGATACAGGGTGCAGCCCCGGGAATGTTGGTAAATACTTAGGAGAACACTTGCACCACAGAAGCCACACTCTTGCTGTCCTTGTTTCTTCCCCGTCGGGTTCCCTCACCTACAGATACCTATCTTAGTCTGTGCCCTAGATGTGGAGTCTTTTGTGCTGTGGTAATTGAGGTAACATTCTTTGCCTCTTAACAGCAAGTTATTTTTACAAATTAGAATTTCAGTTATGTTTACCCCTACTCAGTTTACCTGATTATTTAAAAGATCACTTGGAAAATCGGCCAGAAATTTTAAGCCTTTTGCAGGCAAATCGAGAGCCCAGAAAGAATGGTATTCTAGAATAGCCACATACATGGAGACATAGATAGGAGTGGAATTGCTGGTCATGTGGTAATGTTATGTTTAACCTTCTGAGAGACCGCCTGACTGCTTCCCGCAGAGGCTGCCCGTCGCCCATCCCCACCCGCAGCGTGTGCGGCCTCCCTTTTCACAAGCTGCTGTTCTCAGGTACTTGGGTGGGAGTCCTGCTCAGAAGCAGAGGGCGAGTGCTTGCTCTCGTAGTCTGGTCCTGCGCAGTGAACTCCTTTGTTAGATTATCTGCGCTTCTCGCCTTGCTTTCCTTCCTTCGTCCCTGACTTCTGACTCAGCACCTAGACTGGAGCGGCCCTGGATAAGCCCGTAGGGAAGCGTGAAGCTGCTATGCCGTGGCTGCGTGTCAGGCAACTCAGGAAGGCACCCTTTCAAGATCTGAAGAACTCCTTTTCCCCCACCCATTGACCAGGAAAATCTGGGAGCAGTTGTTTTTAGTGTCACCATGGTAATCGGAGGCCATGATTTGGGGGTGGGAGGCATGACTAATCCCCCTGACATTCTTTTTCTGCCTGTGAGTTGAAGCAGGATATAATGTAAAAAACAAAAGGAATGAAAATTTAGGTTTTAGTGAATAAATAATGGCTACGTTAATACACTGCACTCAAACATTCTTACAAGTTAAACATTTTTTTGAGAAGAAGAGCTATATAAGTGATAATACTTATATGAGATTAAAAGAAAACTTCTGTCCTTTAATAACCTTTTGATATGAATAGCCTGCAGTTTGCTGGCATTTGGGTACAAACTGCTTATTGAATTCTAGTCGCAATTGGATTATTTTGGTGAATCCTCAACATGCAGTATCTTAATACTATTTGATGAAGCATTGAACCATCATCTTTCAGGGAACTAAAGTGACTCCTTATGTTTATCCTGGGAGTTACCACAAGGCACTCAGTACAACACATTAAAACTGCATGTATTATATTTAGATGATCACTTGGATTGGACTTGCCCAGCTTTAAAACTGTTTCTATAAAGGGAACAGTGAATTTTGTAAATATTTGTCAAAGTTATACCTTATCTAAAACAAAGTACATAAAGTTTTAAAATATTTAAAATTCACCATTTATCTGTGGATTCTGTTTCTCCGTCCCCTTTTCCATTTCTTTAGATTCTGGAGGGGCGATTGTTTTATTTTGAGTTAATTTAACCTGTCTAAATGCTATACTAAAGCACATGCCTTTATGTATACCTTCCGCTCCCCTACATCCATCTTCGTGCAAAGTGACTTTAAAAACTCGCAGTTGAGGAGCATTATTTTTAAATAGTTTTAAAGAACTATTAGTGCATTTACATTTTAAAGCCTCAAAGAAGTAAATCATTCACCTGTCCTGGGGCCTCTAATAAATATCTAATTTGAGTTCTCCCCTCGCAGTTTATGCCCATTTTTCTCTTTTGTTTTAATGTAGCCCTACTGATCATTTAGATTCTTCCCCTATGCCCTCTCCATCCTGTACTAAGTAATTCTTCTCACTTTCAACCTTCTGAAGCCCATGTCTATCTTCTTAGCAGTCCTCACAAATTTGGGGGGTTTTTTTGTTCGTGTTGTGACAGTGACAGTTTTTTCCCTATGATTCTTCACTATCTGTTGCAAAGTAGCCAAAAGCCGGCAGACCTGAAGCCTGGGTGGGAAAAGAAGCCAGATGGGGGAGGGCAAGACGGGGCGAGCAGGCGGGGGTGCGGCCTCCCCACACAGGCCGACCAAGCCTGGACCAGACGCTGGGAAGACCGAGCAGTGTGGGTTTCCGCAGTTTGTTCTTCTGTTACAGCAGCGTCTGTCTGCTTCTTAAAGCCTCTCTGACTAAATTCACACTCAAGTAGCAAGTAGGCTGTGGAACTCCTGGTTAGCAGCCACATTCTGTAAACTGACTTTCAAAGGGTGGGAAGTGGAATTGGCTTTAATGTAGAAATCTCCACACTTGCTCCCTGTGTCTGATCCTCTGCCATGGCTCGTTCTAAAACGCGGCTTGTCTCTCCACGTAGCCTAGACAGAACAAGTTTTTACAAGTGCACGTCCAAAGTACATGGAGAGAAAACCTGAATTTATATACCCCATCATGGAGGAAATAGGTCATTCTTCAAAGAGTAGTAATTTCCCACAATTTACTTGAAAAATCTTTTTCTTCCCAAATTAGTGTTTTCCGTATACGATGTTGTCTCCGTGGCTCCACAGTTATTCAGAATCCCTGTTAACTTAAAACCCAGAGTTTATAGCTCTGTAAAGAACAGAAAAGAAATGAGCCGGTTGGGGAATTTGCTTAGGCTAACACAATTCACACGCAATGCTAGAGTCAGTTTAACACTTCACTTCTGAATTGCTAAAAAAAAAAAAAAGAAGAAGAAGAAGGCTAAAGTAGGTCTTAATTTAATTCAGTTTGTCATGTGGAAGCTTGTTGTTTAGCATACTTAATGGACACATTTCCTGAACAAAACTTTATAAATCAAGTGTGGTCTGACACATGCCTGGAAACCAGAAATTCTTAAATTGGAATCCTGGTTTTAAACTTGAATTCCTACATGGCCTGGGGCAAGTCATTTAATATCTTACCTCCCTTTTTGCCATCTATAAAGGATAAATACTTCTGTCTCAGGGATGTTGAAAGGATTAATTAGTTAGTCTGTAAAGAACTTTGAAGATGAAAAGTACTTTAAAAGTGCTTCTTAATAACATTATTGCTTAGAAAAGAGTGTCACTTTTATGCTAACCACTTTATGTCTCAAATTATAGAAAGAAGGTATATTTAGTACATTATAGTCGTCATAAACTAGAGATAGATCTGTCATGGTGTGAACATCAAACACTAGCTTCAAACTTTGAAAGGAGCATCACCTGGTCTTACGGATCATTTAGGAGCTGTGTTTTACTCAGTAATTAGTTACAGAGCTCGCATTTCAGGAAAAAGATGACCCTATCACATACTTCTCTCCCTTTTTATTATTCATCTAAGTTTTTGAGTGTTCACTTTAAAGGGGTACATTCAATTTTAAGTTTGTAGGAGGAGGGTTGGGAAGGGAAGTGGATTTCCTTTATTTTGAGGAAGGAACAGAGTGGAAGAGAAAACCAGACGCTTCCTTTTTTTCCTTCCTCTCTCCCCCTCCCAGTTTCATCACGATGATATGAGGGTGTCGCTTTAGCCTAATCTGGAAACACTAGCGCTGCCATTAAAACTTACTGAAAGTATCTGTCGTTAGTCTTAATTCTGTTTTTTTCCCTCTAAACCAAATTAATAAAAAGGGTCAATGTTTTGATTTTACAATAAAACAGTATTATAACGTTATATAACTGGTACAGAATTCAAATTTAGTGTCTCGATTGGAGCAAGGCAGTGGGATGGTGTTAATTACGCAGCTGACGGCGACTTGCAGGGCACAGCAACTGTTAACAGGGACACAGGTTGTCTAAGGAGACGCTAGAGAAGTTTGGGAAACATGATCAGGAAATTAAATGAAATTTAAACGTGGGGTAAAGTGTGTCAGAAAGAGTCATTCCCGTAAGAAGTTGAAGGAAAGACACCTGGAAAAATGCAGTGACTAGGACTGAATCAGATGGAATGTACCCTCAGCGGAATTGCTTTTGTTCTCTCTGTACAGTCAGACAGACTCACGTTTCATGTTGCTCAACTGTGGGTGATGAGTGTGGTTGGGAAACTGAGACCAAGTGAAGGAAAAGTCGGAATCCTCCTGTACTTGTCTGTGGCTTGACCTGAAGTGCTACATGTGTGTTCACTCCTTTGCACAGGGTGTGAGTCACCAAAATACTCAGCCAGCTAACTTCTGCGTGGTTTAGGTATAAAGTGCTGTAGAGGCATAAGGGCCCCTGCCCATTACAGTAAATTAGAGGCTTCAGAAATATTGCTTCTTGCATTTTGCCTTCAGAAGTATGATTAAGATAAGTAGCAACCACTGAAATATCTGGAACCACCACTTAAAACGTTAAATTAGTGGGTGTTTTTGACAGCCATTGTTTTTCTATGTATCTGTTGAGCATAAGTAATGACCGTTTGAGTGATCTTAATTCTTTCCATTGATTGTGTTAAACAGATGCCATTTTCTGTCTTGATCACGTGTGTAAAGAGTTTTCTTCATGCCATCAATCCTAATTAAAACTCGTTTCAAATAGTAAATCAAAACATAATGTTAATTAATGTGTCATTCTCTTAAAATTCTTACAGTAAAACCCTAGAAGATCGGTTGAAACTTGAAGCCAAAAATGGGACGTTGAGTGTATCAGACACCACAGTTGGCAGCAAACAATTGACATTCACATTAAAGAGGGTAAGTTGTTTTTTAATGTTATTTTAAACTTCACAAAAACTGAAAAATTGGCTTCCAGTCGTGCTGTGTATGTGCCTGAGCTCAGACCTGCCTTCCCAAACCTTCCCCATTTGAGGAGGCCGTGCTCCTGGTCGAGCACTTGCCCTGCAGCCACGGCCTCTCCTGGTTGAGGGCACCAGGCTTGACTTTGGCCGGGCCGGGCATTTTCCTGGTATCCTGAGGGAGGCAGGGCCTTGGTGACCTGAGAGCTGGCCCTGCGCTTTCAGGGTCCCTATGCCTCCTGAGGTGTGGCCTTGTGAAGCAGAAGTCCTGACCATCTAAGGCTATCAAAGAACACTTGAAACTTACAGGGACTTTGAAGAACAGCAGGGATTGGTGAATGCTGATCCTTTTATGACAGCGATAGCCAGCTTGCCCGGAAGCCGTAGTTTCAGAAGGCGGGACTACTCTGTCAGTAGCAGGTCCTGTCCTAAGGGGTTTGTAAGACTCAGCCCTTCAGGCAGTTTGATAATGCCTGGCACACGGTACAGGGGAAAGGGGCTTCTTCAGTATTTCCTGTTAGCTGATGAGTAAAACTATGTGGTTTTATTTTTTAAATATGTCTTCTCATTCGGTAGATCTCCCTTAATATATATTGTGACCCAGGGGGAGAGAAAGACAAAGACTGTACCTCTGGCTCTTTTTTTAAATTGAGGGAATAGTTCACATATCATAAAATTCACTCTTTTAAAGTATACAATTCAAGGTTTCTGGTATATTCGCTAAGCAGTGTAATCACCTCAGTCTCTAATTGTAGCACATCCTCACCACCCCAAAAGGAAACCCCATAACCTTGAGCAATTAACCCCACCACCCCCATTTCCCCAGCCCTAGGCAATTGCTAATGTACTTTCTGTCTCTATGGATTTGCCTAGTTGGACACGTCACATAAGTGGAATCATGTAGTATTTTCTTTCGTGACTGGCATCTTTCGCTCACTATGTTTTCAAGGTTAATCCATGTTATAGCACGTATCAGAACTTCATTCCTCTTTAAGACTGAGTAATACATCATTGTGTGTTGTATTTTTTGCTTACTCATCCACCTATTAATGGGCATTTGGGTTGTTTCGCCTTTTTTGCTATTATGAATAATGCTGCTATGAAAATGCAGATACATGTTTTCTCATGGATGTGTTTTGCATGGACATATGTTTTCATTTCTCTGGAGCTTATACCTAGCAGTGGGATGGCTGAATCATCCGATAACTGTAATTTTTTGAGGAATTGCCAGACTGTTTTCCAACACGACTAAACCATTTGCATTCCCACCAGCAGTGCATGAAAGTTCCATTTTTTCCACATCCTTACCAGCAGTTGTCTGTCTTTTTTATTGTAGTCATCCTAGTGGATGTGAGGTGGTAGCTTATTGTGGTTTAGGTTTGCATCTTCCTGATGACTAATGACGTAGAGCAAGCATCCTTTCGTGTGCTTCTTGGCCATGTGTATATCTTCTTTGGAGAAATGTCTGTTTAAATTTTTTTTAGTTGGCATCCATCATCTCATGTAGATAAAATAAAAAGAAAAAAAACAAAAACAGAAGAAAAATGTTTTTCTCTGATGAAACTCTTAGGATTTGCTTTCTAAATGACTGTGCTGTATGCCCTCTGGCAGTGTTAGCTAGTCATCTTGCTGTACCTTGCGTCCCTCATACTTACTTATCCTGTAACCGGAAGTTTGGACTTTTGACCACCTTCCTCTGATTTCCCCTCCCCCACCCCTGAGAAGTTTTGTATTCCGAGTGTAAGAAGCTTTTCAGGTAAAGCTGTCTCCATTTAGATCACACGCAGATCACCGTCAAGCAGACTCCATAGGCATCGGTAAGGAGGCCGTTTTCACCGTTTCAACTTGTGCCCCTGACATCTTTTCCCCGTTGGCTCTCCGTGCACTTCCGCCAGCTGAGACTATTTGTTGAGCTTTATATTCAGTGTATATTATCAAGACTATCAACTATCTTTTTAAAACTACTCAGCTCTTACCTCCATTGTGGCTTTGTGTCGATATTCTCTTTTAAGAATTTCGGCTGCGAGTAGTGAGACGTAGGGTGGGGAGGAGGTCCAGCTCCTGCCTGAGGAAATGAGTGTGGAGAGCAATGCTTTTAAGTAGTCAGGCCCGAGAGCCTAGGAGATCATTCCAGCCGTGAACTTGTGACTTGTCCGGGCCTTTATCAGTGTTGAATGGTAGCAGATATCTGGCTTTTGAGGAGAATTTCATTTTGTGGTAACAGCCAGAAATTCTTTGGACCCAGTTCCGGCAACTGCTTAATCGTGGATGGGTTACAACACACTTTTAGTACACACAAGTATTTTTTTGTTTTGTTTGTAAGACAGTGTGAATAAACTAATGGTTCTGGCTCATAAATAAAAAACAGTTCTGTAAGAGAAGTCGATGCCATTTTGTGAGCAGTAGCATCTTCTGAAGGTGGCTCTTTTGTAAGCGACCTTCCCTTTTGAACCGTCCCGGCAGCATTGTGTGTTGGTTGAAAAGCCAGTCTCATCCCTTGTAGCTCAGCCTGGTCTGTCGGGGCACCTCTGTTGCCCAGGGGTTTCTAATGTCCTGCTGTACAGTGACCATAAAAGTGGGCCCTTGTGCAGCTGCTTCCGCTGGGCAGCGTTTGCAGAGCAGTCTGGTCACCAAACCGAGTGCCCTGGGGCCCCGGGGCTGCCTTCCTCAGGCAGGGCTGGGATGAGTGGTTGTGCTGTTGGTCATCCAAAGAGGGGTGCTGGAGTTTTCTTTCTCGTTCCCTCTCATGTCATTTTCTCTTTTAGTCTGAACAGCAGAAGAAGCAACAGGAGGCTGAGAAACTGCACCGGCAGGAAAGGAAAGCACTGCGTCGCTCAGCCGGTCATCTGAGGTCCAGACACAAGCGAGGACGGCCGTTTCACTGAGCCGAGAGGGACCCAACACGCGACGGGGAAGGAGCACGCCTCCCCCAAGTGGAACATCGTTAGAGCACAGCAAACAGACGGGGCCGCACGTTTTCAAAGTTCCATGTCAGTTCTCGGTACCTCAGCGGTAAAGATCTGGCAGCTTGTCCCATTGCCTCTGGGTCAGACTTTGAAGCTGCCCCCAACCCACGACTGGTCAGAGCATCGTCGCCAGGGCGCTTCTTGCAAGTCGTTGCTCCCCGTAAAATCATCCTTTTCCCCTGGTTTTAATCAAGTAAACAAGGTAGTTTTTTTTTTAATATTGTGAAACGTGTACCGTGAACTGGGAGGTTATCCTGTGCTAAAAACGAGGATAATCATGCTCTCTGAACTTTTTTCTTACAGTGCCTGCTGCCTTTCACCATTAAACCACCCAGAAATACCGTTCCCACCCTCCCTAATGTGCAGTATTGGTCGTGTTTGTGTTCATAAGTATCTGTTGGTAGGTTTGTTGCTTGTTTGTGTGTTTGGGATTTTTTTAAAAATATTTTTATATCAAGAGAATATAAATTAATGGTAATAACCTAAAATAAGAAATGGAAGCTACTGGGTATTCTTTTATACTTGACACAAGATCAAATGCAGATGTTTTTCTGTTTCTTAAGTGCAATTAGAGATAAACTGGCTGGAGAAAACATTTATAAAAATAAATACTTTTATTTGAATAGCTTCTTTGAGAAAGACCCATTCCTTGAGTTAATATGAAAATTGACTTTGGTTTCCTTAGTTTCTTAGATAGTAATGTGATTTTGGAGGCGCTTTTCCTTTTGTACAGCCGGAACAGCAACTCTTTGGATTGTCAACAATAGACTCTAACTCGAAATGCCGTAAGCAAAAAGGCCAGGCGTGAATTAACGCAGCCGGGGCCTGTACCTGCCTCAGGGACACCTGGATTCAGGGCTCCCCACTTAGCCAGGTGCTGCACCTTCTCCTTTCTTTCCTTCCTCCCGTTTCAACATTGTTCCTTGTCAGTTCCGGCCTCCCCTTCCCTGGTTCCTTGACGTCTTATCCTTCCCAGGCCTGGCTCCGCCGTTCTGTGCAGACTGGCCAGTTCCACCAGGCAGGGAGCGGCGCGGCCACACGTCCACCTCTGTGTGTCTGTGTCTATGTGTGGACACACATGATCGTCAGAAAGAGACTCTTGTTACCTGTGCAGCCAGCCCAGCCTGTGTTGGAGCACCGGAGGGCCTTCCGCCCGCTTCTGTCCCTGCTGCCAGCTGCTTTCCTTCTCCAGCTTCTTGTCCCCTCAACTTCTCATCATGAACCCCCTCTTCCCAAAGGAAGGGGCTTTGGCTCTCCTGTGGCGCCTTTTCTACTTCCCACATTGCTTTCTGCAGGGGTGAGAGTTTAGAAGACGGACCCTGCCGGCTGGACTTTTTCCCGGGGGTTGAGTGGTTGTGTTCCAGACCCATTTCCTGGGGTCACTGGCAGCCGCTGCTGTAGCTGGCCTTCCCAAGCCCCTCTTTTCCTTCCTCTGGGGGTTCCTCCCTGTGGTGTGGGGAGGCAATCTGCCATGGTGTTAAACCTCAGGAGCAGAGCCACAGGCTAGCGGAGGGAGCGCATGTGCTCTGACATGGGAGCTCTTCCGAGACTGGGCGGCAGAGCATCACCAGGTCCAGGAGGACGGTTCTGACCCACCTGGGCCCTGGGCGCCGAACGCCAGCCCTGCTGCCTGCTGGTTCTGTATGCTTTGACTACTGTGACCCCTTTGAATACCGTTTCCTCCTATGAGTGAGCGCAGTGCTTCATTTTGATGAGGGTTCAATGAGGTACTTAGCTTAGGTCGTCAGCGTGTCGCCCAGAGGGAGGCTCATGGGCGTTGACGAAGCTCATCACTCACCAGCCGCCTTCCCTCACCTCCACATACATCCCTGTGAACTCAACGTGCTCTTTAATTTCGAGGCTCTTCAAGAGCAGAGGTGCCCTCACCTTTTGTTCTGGCAGATGGAGGGCCTGTGCTAAATCTGTGAGAGACAGTCAAGAAAAACTCGCTGAACAGATGGTTGTACGAAGGCTTCGTCCAGGCCCCACTGCTCTCCTATTGATCCCTTAAAACCGCCCCACCTCTTGAGAAAAATATGGAGTTTCATAAAAATGTTTTAAGCATAAAAAAGAGAAAAATAGCCCCGTCTCTTCAGGATTGGGATTCCTGGAGTACCTGCTGCAACCTCACATGTCTCTGACGTCTCCCGTTTTAAATCTGTTGTAAAGTTGTAGTGTATCATTTCTCTGTGTTTGTGACAGATGGCCCACTGGCCCCAGGACGCAGCCCTACTTCCGGGCCTCCCCAGGGACGTGCACATGGGGTGTTCATGAGCCAGCAGGAGGGTCACAGCCTAAAATGGGGGGTGGCTTTTACATCAGGACCATTGTGGGGTTACTGCGTGACACCCAGTCCTACGCCAGATACATCATTCTCTGATACCCCTGACCTGGCACCTAAATATTTTTTCCCAACTATTAAGAAAAAGCTGTTTTCAGCAGTTGGGGCAGTGGTCACTTTTGGAGAGAGGGAAAAGTGATGTGGCGGGCGGGGTGGGGGGACATGATGGACATCCAGGATCTGGTTGGTTCTGTTCCTTAACCTGGGTGGCTAGCTCCGCTCATGACTTGTACACCTTTCTGTGTGTGTGTGTGTGTGTGTATATGCGTCAACTCAGTGGTCTAATTGAAAAAGAATTGTTTTATGAAAGGCACATGGACCCATTATAACAAATCTATTCCATCTAGTCCCCCTGACATACCTTCTAACAGTATATTTTTTCAAGTATTTTTCTGTTCTATAAACAACTATATACACGTTTTTTTTGGTAATCAAATGGCATCGTACTGTTTTTGATGTTCCTCATAGTATAATGGGCTGCCCCTCAACTTGATTTTTATAGCTAATAATATATAGTAGACACGTTTCCAAGTCTGCACATACATAGAGGCCAGTCTCTCCTCTGTATAAACATCAAAAGTACTTTATCATATGGCTAATCCATAATTGATTTAACTCTTCCCCTATGATGGTTCTGCCTAAAAATCTAAAGAACCTTAAAAAATAATTTCTGTAATAACTATACCCCATTATTTCTTAAATGATCATAGTAACTTTCTGAAGTGCCTGTATATAGTAAAGCAGCCTCTAGGTCATTTCAGTTTTTTGTTTCTAATGGGATTTGAGAAGGAATTTCAATTCTATTAGGATATAGTTTTAGTGTGTTTTTTATCCGTAGGATCCCCCATTTGTCATAAGAGCAAAAACAAATATTTTGTAACATCATTGGGCAAATCTTAGTGACGTTCTTTTACATACTATTTATGGCTTTATTATGCTTGCAACTGAAGTTATTAAAGTTCCTCAGACAATTATGCGGGTTTTCTGTCTCCCGTGAATGACCCACTTATCTCGTTTATTCTCAGCTGCCATGACAAGAATGTGTGAGGGGCGAGCACAGAAGCATCCCGGCACTCGGGCCTGCCTGGGCCAGAGCAGGGGCAGGACCTGGTATATGCTTACGGTGGGTTAGCAGGACTTGCTGCGGGCCTGGCCGTGGGCCAGGAGGGGCAGAGAGGAGTCAGGCGCGGCTTCAGCGTGCTTGGCCTTAGCAAAGGCAGGGCTGGGGTTGTCCCTGAACTGTGTGGGAAGACCCAGCGGAACAGGTGTGGGTGAGGAGGTGAGGAAGGATTCCGTCCAGGGATTCTAAGCTGATTTGAAACCTAATCCTCTCCTCAAAACCCTCTCAGAGTAAAAGCCCAAGTCCTCACAGCCTCCAGGGCACAATGTGATCTGACCCCTTCTGCTCGCCTTTTTATTCACTCGGCATCACCACACAGACTTTGATGATTCTAGAACACTCTGGCATCCCGTTAGGCCAGGGCCTGGGCAGTTGCCATTGCCTCCGCCTGGAATGCTCTCTCCTCGGCCGTGGGCATGTCTCTCTCACCCCTTCCGGTCATGACCACCCTATTTAAATTGTCACCTTCCTGCTCCCAGCACTCCTTATGCCTTTATTGTGCCTGATGCCCGACATAAAGTACTTTGAAAAATCTTTTTATTATGAAAAATTTCGAACATATACCGAAGGAGAGAAGAGTTGAATGAGCTCCCAGTTGCTACTCATCACCCAGCTTCAATAATTAACAACAGAAGCTCGTCTCGTTCCATCTTTCCTCCTACCCATGGACCCTGTTATTTTGCAATTTTTTGACCCTAGATGTATCATTTTATCCACAAATATTCATAGTGCTTTACTTGTTTATTGTTTCCCCACCAGAACGTAAGCCCCTTAAGGGTAGGGATTCTGTTTTTTCGGTCTGTTTTGTTCCGTGCTATGTATCCAGCATCTAGTATAATGCCTGACACATAGTAGCTACGTGATAAATATTTACTGAATGAATAAGACGAGGACTGAAGATTGCACTTTGGTTTGGTACCAGCGTGGCGGTTCTTGACAAGAGCTGTTTGAGAGGGGCAGGGAGCCGAGAGGCCCAGTTGGAGAAGTTCAGGAGAGTCCAGGGCAAAGGAAATCGGAAACAGTGACGGTGGACAGCACTTGGGAGGAGTTTTTGTTATAGGGGGACAGGAAATAGGACATGTGCGATCAAGAGAGGGTTTTCTTTTAAATGGGAGAAATTCCAGCATGTCTGCATGCTGCTAGGAAAAATCCAGGAAAAGGAAGAAGTGACGGTGTCAGAAAGAGACAATTACTGGAGTGATATCCATAAATAAGTCTGGTAGTTATCCATCGCTGCATAACAAACTTAGTGGCTTAAATAACAGTTTCAGTGGGTCAGGAATTCAAGAGCCGCTTAGCTGGGTAGTTCTGACCCAGCATCTCATAAGGTTACGGTCAAGATGTCAGCCAAGTCTACAGTCGTCTAAAGGCTTGACTGGAGCGGAAGGTTCCCTGTTCTAGGCTCAGACACGTGGCTGTTGGCTGGAGGCCTCAGTTCCTTGCTGCATGGACCTCTCCATAGGGCTGCTGGAATGTCCTCACCACATGGTGGCCGACTTCTGCCAGAGAAGGAATTCAGGAGAGCGAGAGACTAAGCGAAGCCACATGCTTATCACCTGGTATCAGAGGTCGCACATCATCACTTCACCTTTCATGGATTTGTCAGAAGTGAGTCACTAAGTACTGCCCACGCTCAAGGGGAGAGGAATTAGGTGCCATCTTTTGAGGGAGGGAGTATCGAGTAGGGTTGTCAGACTAAATATAGGACAGCCCGTTAAATTTGAATTTCAGATGAACAGATAACTTACTAGTATAGTGAGACATTCTGCTGGAGCTCCCATGAGAATTTGTTGTTGTTGAATGCGTGAGTATTTTCCCTTTTTTTTTAAGGCTCTGTCTTAAGCACAAATGCAAAATAGATTTTATAGAAGAATAGTTTCAGTGTTTTTATAAGAAAAGTTAAAAGATTTTGTGGTTCTTAGGTAAACTTTCAATGCACTGAAAATCTGGATTTCTTATTTGATGAAGCTGAAACAAAATCCTAGAGTTTATCCTGTCATGATGTTTAAGCAAATGTGGATGATGGCAGTTGCATAACTTCATTTTTCTCTGTTAAATTCAGTCTCCATGTTTCATATCCAATAGAAAACTTGTCTCTCTTTTGCATTTGAGAATACTAAAAGTAATGTACTTTAGTTCAAGAAAATTCCAAAGTAAATGCATG